TATATAAATCCACGGTACGCGTATACCTTGAACTACTGCGGGCAGTTCTGGTCGCCCCATCTCAAACAGGGTAGATTAGAATTAGGAAAGGTGCAGAGAAGGGCAACAAAAATGAGGAGGAGTGTGGAGCAGCTTCCACACGATTAAAAAGACTGGGGTTGTTCATCTTAAAAAAGAGACGGCTAAGGGGGATATGATAGAGGTCACTAAAATCATGAATGCTGTGGAGAAAGTGAATAAGGAAGTGTTATTTACCCCTTCACATAACACAAAAGCCAGGGGTCACTCAATGACATTAACAGGCAGCAGGTATTTCTTCACACAGTGCACTGTCAACCTATGGAACTCATTGCCAGGGGATGTTGTGAAAGCCAAAAGCATAACTGGGTTCAGAAAAGTATTAGATAAGTTCATGGAGGATCAGTCCATCATTGCCTGTTAGCCAGGAGGGTCAGTGATACAACTCCATGCTCTGGGCGTCCCAGAGCCACTGACTGCTGGGACTGGATGACAGGGGATTGTTCACTCAATAATTGCCATTCTGTTCTCTCTCTCTGATGCAATACAGCACCCAGGCATGGAGTTAGGCCAGCACAATGGTAAATAATGCAATGAAGTGAACTCTGCTCTAGTTAGGACCTACAACCCTGCAGAATGCTCTGTGCACCTTGGATTCCAAGGCCTGACCAGTGCAATGGTTCTGCAGCAGATTCAGTTTGCCAGGTTGTCCAGTGCCATAACTGTGCTCGGTGCTTTACAGACACGTAAGGCAACAAGGTTCCTGGCCAATGGTGCTTACAATCCAAATAGGGCAGATGATAATGAGAAGCGACTGCAGACCTTGGGGCTCAGGGATGGGAGGAGGAAGACAACAGAAACAGGCCATACAGCAGATCATATCCCTTAATTTGTGTTGTATATTTCTTATTTTCCTAGCTAGCTATGTGAGGTGTGTTTTTATGGTGCCTATCACCATTGGGTCTGAACTGAGACTAAACAGAAATGGGGTTAGCGGTGTTGGTTCCCGTGCAGATAGGGCTGTTTGAATGGTATGCTGTTCTTCCTCCTTGTTAGTGCTTACTGGTGCCATTCCAGGTGAAAGTCTGGTTTCAAGCGGGAGGGGTGCGGGCCTGACATGGTCTTACCTGTTCTTGAGAAAACACAAGCTGCTTCCTTCCCTCCACCCCCCTTTCAGGTGAACAAGAGAAGAAACGAAGCTAAGTCCAACCCAAGCAAATTCTGCAGCCCCATTCCACCCTGTGTCACAGGCTTGTCCTCACGAGTCTGTGCCAACCTTCCAGCTCCGATCCCTTTTCTAGGGAGCTTCCGGCCTCCCTCCTCTCCAGTCTCCAGTTCTCTAGCCTCACCTCACCAGGGTCCCAGACAATGAAGCAGGCATAAGGTCTGCTCCAAACTCTCCCTGCTTCTGATTCTCCAAGGTCATTAGTATTGTAGCCACAGTCCCGTAGCAAAGTCTGCTTTCTGGACTTGTCTATGTCTGACTGTCCAGACAAATTCTGCACCCACTACTCTAGGCATCCCAGGAACGTCCCCAGCCAGGGACAGTCTCTTCAGGGCTTCTCCCTAGCCAGTCTGCTTTGTTACCTCTTCCCAGTTCTGTTCTCCTAGCAGCGGTTCTCAAACTTTTGTACTGATGACCCCTTTCACATAGCAAGCCTCTCATTGCAACCCCCTTTATAAATTAAAAACACTTTAAAATATTTAACACTATTATAAATGCTGGAGGCGAAGCGGGGTTTGGGGTGGAGGCTGGCAGCTCACGACCCCGCATGTAATAACCTCACAACCCCCTAAAGGGGTCCCAGTTTGAGACCCCCTGTCCTAAGGGCTCCGTAACAAAGCCCACTCCAACATTCCCTTTCTGTGTGGCCTCCTCTGAGGCCTCTTGACCAGACAGAGACAGAACTCCTGTCCCTTTCCTCGTCTCTCTCAGTAGAGAACACTAAAGCCTGCTCCTTTCCAGGCTCCTTCTAGTCTCTTCACTGGAGACACCTACCGACAGCTCCTGCTCCCTGCAGATCTCTTTCCACTTGGAAGGAAGGGAGTTGTTTCTGTTCCCTCGCTACCTTTCCCAGCATTTCTGCCACCCTCCCCCCCCCAGGGACCTTGCTACAGGAACAGGGTAGGGGCAGGACCATGGACTTGCAGATAATCTGATCTCTTCTGGCAAGATTTCCATAGTTGTGGTCCTGCCCTGAGAATGCTCTGTCCCATGCTCTGTGTAGGGTGTAGAGCTCTGGCATGCCAGTGCAGCGAGGTGTCCGAGCATGCTCCAGGCTTGAGAGATGAGGTGCAGGATTGTGAACGCTGCTGGGTTAGGTTGGGGCCCCCCCAGGAGCAATGAGTCCTGGAGTTATTGGCCTGTTTTCATAAATTCAAAGATTTTAAGGCCTCTATAATCATCTGGCCTCTCCTGCTACATAGCCTTGAAGTTTAGGACAAGAAGCCTGAACCTGACGCTGCGAAGGAGGGGGATCCACAGATGGTGATCTGGTTTCGTGGAGGTTAAAGAGAAGGGGAGACAAGACTGAGCCATGTGATGCTCTGGAGGGATGAGGAGGCACAGGCCCAAACATGGCAAACTCTGTCCAATAGGAATGATTAGAGCCAGCACAGTGCTGTCCTCTTCACTCCCACAAGCTCTCCTGTGTCCCATCAATGCCACATGATCAGTGGCTTTATCCTTGTTCTGTGTTTGCTTTGTATTTGATGGCGAGCACACGGGCAGGGCTAGGAAGCACTGAGTGGAGCTGAGAGAAGAACAATTTGTGGAGGGCTCTGCAGGAGCAGAGGAGGATGGTTCACGCAGAGAGAGAAGGAAGTGCTCCAGGCATAGAGGGCGCTGTGAAAACAAGCACAGAGACACACATGGGAGGGAAGAAAACAATAAGCATCAGAGAGCCAGGAGAGAGCAGAGCATAAAGTGCAAAGCGAGGGTAGGAGACAGGCTGAGTGACACCTTTCCTAGCTCAGGTGGCATTCCAGTGCTACTCGCCAGAACTGCCAGAGAGGGGCTGGAAGGTGTGATCACTCCAGCCCCACAGGCAGCCCTGGAAAGGGGGACCAGTGCTGGCAGCTTTAGATGAATGGCCAGTTCAATTAAACATGGAGCTGGAATATGATGAGCCCCATGCGCCCAAGACAATGGGGAGCCCCCGGCCTGGGGCCCGGGATGGCAGGGAGCCCCCGGCCTGGGGCCTGGCCCCGCACGCCTAGGAGGGCAGGAAGCCCCCGGCCTGGGGCTGGGACAGTCTGATGGGATCACTGGTGGAGCTGGAATGCAGAGATCACCTTACTGATTCTGAATGCTTGAACTCCAGGCAAACCCTCCATGTTTGTGGCCAATGACACAAGCAGCAGCACTTGGTTGGGAGTTTCACAGCATAAGGCTCTTGGCACCCTGACTGTGAGCTGGAATGGTCCCCTTCCCCTTCCCCTATCACACCACACAAAGGAGCCAGCATGTGTGAGCCATGAAGGGCAGAGGGAGCAGGGAACGAGACAGAGCATCAACATCCAGCCTGATTTCCCCCCTCCCCCCCCGCATACACCGACACAGACTCACACTTACAGACAGATGCACAAATAGAGAAAGGTGCACACACGGATACACTCACAGACTCACACACATGCAAACAGACAAATTCACACATCTTTACACAGTACATGCCCCAGAGCTACTGACAACCGGAGAGCAGGGCTGCTCTCCACCCACGTTTCTGTATATGCCCCACCATGCACAACTTGACAGCAGGAGGAGCAATATCCCGTTACACTCCCGCCCAGGGCCAGAGCAGCATCGCAGCACCACCAAGCTACTTGAAACAAAACAAATTCCATTTTCTGCTAAAAACTCTGAAATGCTGCTATGTTCTGGACAAGCCCTGCCGTGATTAGCTCACTCCTGTCCAGCAAGCAGGGACCTGATCCTCTGGGGTTTAATCTTCCAGTATTCGGAGCGATTTCCTTATCAGTTTGTTACACAGGCAGACAGGCTTATGGGATGCTGAAAGAGAGCTGCAATGGTCCAATGGGTCACATCGTCAGGTTCAGCAAGTAGTCCTGCAGTGCACAGTGGGACCACCTGCGGACTTTCCACACTGGCTACCATCACACACCAGAGTCCACTTGCCATACTGATCCAAATGACAGCTGTGGTCAATACCCTTCACAGCTACGGGCACCCGACAAGCCAGCAAGCGTGGAACTCCACAGCTGAGGTGCCTGTGGAGGCAGCACGCCCTCCCCAGCTGGAGTCACACACAGCAGGAATAAATTGTCTAAGCAAAGGGGTTAACTCCTGGCAGACTCTGAAGCACAGAGCCCGCTAATACAGATCTGTAAGGGCAGGAAACCCAATGGATACAGGAAGGGGAGGAGAAAATGCTAAAAGGGGACCTTGGGGCTACAAAGGAGCTAGGCACAAATACTGCCCAGCAGAGAGGCTGTTGCCAGGGTCTGCAGAAGCATTGGGACAGTTTCATTATAAGGGTGTGTATCTTCTGAAGCAAATTCAAGATTTCTATCCCAGGGAGCCAAGACCAATACATCTGAACAAGCCTCATCCTGACTCACCGTTTACTGCTGTTACCACCCAGTAGGACAGCTCCTTCCCAGGGGTGCAGTCCCTCTCCTGTCCTCCACAGGGCCACCCGATTCCTCACTCCGAGAGGATTTGACAGCAGGATGCAGGGATCAATGCCTAGGACATCTGCTCAATTGCAGCCGCTACCCCTGGAGTCAGGGTTTGGGCAGAGTGCATCTCTGCAGCTAGCAATGCAGCGGTTTCTCTCCTTGGTTTCCCATGCTCTCCCTTCCTCACTGGGAGCCTCCATTTTCAGGTCTTTAGCCCTTTCTCATACTGCATCATTTGCATGAGAATAGAAGCATATCACTGCTGCTGGTTTAGGTTGCTAGTGCATTAAATAAAGTTACTAGCCAGGCCTATAGAGCTGGAGCTGGAGTGGAGTCTTTCTTACCTGCCTCTGGGATTCCTCCTGTAGCCTGCCGCTGGCCTCCAGGTCTTGCTCGAGCTGCTGGATCCGGCTGCATTTCTGCTCCAGTTCTGCCTGCCTCTCCGTCTGCTTGGTCTGCAGTTGATAGATCCTCTGCTCTTGAGCATCCAGCTATTGACCCGCCCAGGGAAAGAAAGAAAAAATGGAAAAAAAAATCAATTAATACTAAACGGCTTAACAAAACCCTGAACAGCACAGGCCTGATGCTACTGGGGGTGGGGACTGAGGGGAGGAGAAACACCCCCCCACTAGCTGCAAGAACTTGATGTTCTGGGGACAGGAAGCCAATATGGTAGGTGCGATTTGCTAGCACACCAGCCGCAGTACTGACATGTCCAAGTCAGGGGAGTCAGGGAGCTGCAGTCACTCCGCTGAGGGACATTTGCCCTCACCCCGTCTCCGGGGGAAGCTCTACGGAGCCTGGACGAGGGACAGAAATAGAAGGCAATGGCGCGAACACAACGTTATTTAAATAAACAAACAAACAAATAGCTGCCAGCGCTGGCTACGTGTTGCAGCTCCAGGCGGCTCTGCCCTGTGCGACGGAGCGCTTGGGCACTCTCCTCTGGCATTGTCTGTACAGAGAAAAGAGAAAGGAGGGCCTTGGTACCTCGGTGGCCAGCACATCCCTTTTGTCCTGCAGGAGCAGGAGCTGGCTTTGAAGAGTCTGGATTTTTGCATCTCGGCATTCCAGCTGGAAAACGTTTACATGGAAAGGGAGAAAGGAAGAATCATGAATGCCAACCAGTGAGCAATGATCACGACAGGACTAAAGCACTGATCCCCAAAGCTCACTGTGTGCAGGCCCCATCACTGACCGGCGTCTCAGCTGCTGGGGACTCTCTCTGGACAGGCAAGGTGGAAGAGGTGGCAGTAACTGCTTCCTCTCTGCAATGGCCAGGCGTGACTTCTGTTGCTGGCAGAGCAGACAGCGACTGGGAAGCAATAGATTTTGCTGGCCACAGATCCTGAGAGGTTTTTTAAACTCAGCATTGGGAAATCCTCTGCAGTGATTGGTCAGTAGCATGGCGATATCCTGACATGACAGCTGGGGTTGGAACCACTTTTGTTCCTTGTCCCTTTCCACAGGTGATATCAACACACCTCATTTATTGGGGCCTGGGCTGGCCCAGAGGAGTGCTTGTTTTAGGAGAAAATGGATTATCCTCCATGATCTAGTAAAGCTAAACAAATAATGCACATTAACTAAATACAGTAACAGCTTCCCAAGCACCAGGCCACTTGAGAGGAGAGACATGGGGTTTGGAAAGGACGTGGCTGCAGCATCCTCCCACTGGAAATTAGCCATGCGGAGCTCCTCCTGCCACAACTTCTCCCACTCTCCTGTCTCCAGCAGGGAAGGATACAGGAAGCTTCAGCCTCACGAAGCTCGCCCACTCAAAGGCTTCCCACACAGAGAGGGCCCCAGGCATGATGCACTTACGCTCAACCACAGAAATCTCTTCCTAGAGCCAGTGAAGAACAAAGGCCCGGACAATTCCACGAGCGCTGAAATGCCCACGTCCCTGCACACTTGATTCTTGTCCAGAGCGCCTCCTGCGGAACCCACAGCACTCTCCGGGTCCCGCACCATGCTGTACAGCCCAGAGCTGCCCCCTTGGACCCACAGCCACTTCCCAGGTCCCCACTGCCCTGTATAGCCCAGAGCTCCCCTGCAGAGCCCACAGCACCTCCCTGGGTCCCCCACAACCCTGTACGGCCCAGAGCTCCACATGGCTGAACCCAAACAGAGAACAGTGGGGGACAAAGAGCCCAAAGAGCAGTGGTGGAAGGGGAACGTGGAAAGAGGCAGGCCTGCGTCTGCGACAGGAATCAGATTCTCTCCCCCAGACGTCAGGAGTCAGCCTCGGCTCACAGAGCTGTAACCAACGGCACTGTTAAGGAAGCTGTATGTCTGTGCTGCAAAGGCCTGCTTGTGTCTGGAAGGGGCGCAGCACCAGATGGGCTCCAGTTGCTGCCCTGAACCCTGAGCCCTCGGTGCAGGTGCACTACAAAGACGTGCCTAGCAGCTCAATCAGCTCCATACCTTGGTGCAGCTCTATAAAACTAACTACACCAAGCCAAGTGACGGGCAGCCTGCCTGGGCTCCCTGTGCTGCGAGTCTGAGATCCAGCCCTGGAGACTGGGGCTTATTGCTAAACAAGGCTGGTCTCTGATCGGAGAGTGCCGCTCAGGCTGGCCTCTCTCGACATGGTTCGTCTCCAGGGGCCTTTACCTCTGTTTTCAGGAGCTCGTTGGTTCGGGAAGATGAGGGGAGCCTTTCACAAGGACGGGATCCCGGAGCACTGCTAACCTAAAACACAACATCACGGGGGTTAACAGCAGGCACTGGCTGCCCGGCTGCCCAGACAAACAGCAGCAGCAGGCTCAACGTACGCTGTCCCAGTCACAGCCCAAGGATGAAGCACTGAACATGCTCCCAGCCCTACATTCTGGCCAGCAGCGGGGCAGAGGTGGCAGCCCCTCCCCATGGCCAGCCTTTTGGCACATCACCCCTTCGGAAACAGAGCCCGGTCACGCCTCCGGAACTGCGCAAAACCCAGCAGCAGCTGTGGCCCCTGGAGCCAGCCTATGAAAACTTCCACTTCAGGCTGCAGCATTTGGAGCCCCCCATGCTGATGTCACCAGTTCCCTCATTCCCTTAGTGTCTGAAGGTTTCGATTGCCCTTCAAGTGTTTACAGACTAAACAATATAGGACTGAAATATGAGTGAGAAAAGGTCTCCAAGCTCCCATGTTGCAGCCACCTCTGCCTGGTTCCCATGACTGTCCCCAAAAGGAGAAATCTCTCATCTCCCCACCTGGGCCACCCAAACTCTCCCAGAAGAAATAGTTGCCCCCACCCCCGACTCCACCCCACCCCTGTCTCCTACTGGGCTGACGAACATCTCCCTCTCATCAGGTTCCTTCTCCCTCCTCCCCCCCGACAGGAATCTGGGACCCAGAACAGGACGCCCTTCAACCTACCCACCCTACCATGGGGCGGGAAATCATGGACTAGCCAGCTCCCCCAGAACCCTGGCTGATTTCAGGAAGTGCCCTACCTAAACAAAGGGGGTCTCCTGGCAGCCACACTCCCAGGCCCTGCCTGCTCAGAACTCTGGGATTTTTGTCTGTGTCTGGCTTAGCCAATGTCTGGCCTCACACAATGAGCTCACTAGTGATTCCTGTTGAACACGCAGGCAGTCTGCACCCTCCCTTCCTGGCACGGCTGCAGGTCAGTACACAAAGAGCAGAACTCAAAGCTTTTTGCACTGTCCTGCAGACAACACGGTGGGGGAGACGCAAGCTGCAAAGCTTTGGCTATGGCGCTCCCTTTGTTCACCACCTTCCACCCTCACCGTTATTACTGGAAACAACGTGTAGTCAGTAGCACCTAGAAGCCTGACCCAGGCCACCATGCCAGGCACTGCACATACCCAGAACAGGGAGTTTGTGCCTTCCTCCGCACTGCCCCAGATCTGGCAGCCTCAGCCCCTTTTGCCCCAGGGCACTACGTGCCAAACCCCCTCTCTTGAAAACCCACTCCTGGAAGCCCCCAAAGGCAAATCCATGTCAGTATTGTACCAGCACTGCTCCAACTCTGCCACGCCTCCCGCTGCCTCCCCCGAGGCATTCCCAGTTAGCGTTACCCTCTGGGGGCTCCCAGGCTATCCTGTCTGGGGCAGGCCCTGTGCGTTACAAACAGGCCCACCTGGCTGCCCACACTGCCCCCTCCCCCTCCGGGCCCGCTCAGTCACCTGCACTGCAGTTGACGAGCTCTGGTGAAATCTGGCCAAACCCTATGAACACGCTGGAGACGCGAATACACCCAATGGCTAAGATGCGTTTAATTAGTAACTATCTGACTAAATCTAGCTAGAATTCATATAGTAATTAAATGTTAATTGATTAATAAAAATATATTTACTGAAAACTGTCATCCAGTTGTCAACATTCAATAAATACATTCATAATTAATTTGAATATTAGTAACATAAAACGATTTTAATATCTAAATTAAATCTGTAATGGAGCCACCATCATCATCATAATATATGGAGATAGACCTATCTCATAGAACTGGAAAATGACCTTTCAGGGTCCCGAGTCCAGCCCGCTGCCTTCACTAGCAGGACCAAGTACTGATTTTTGCCCCACATCCCTAATTGGCCCCCTCAAGGATTGAACTCACAACCCTGGGTTTAGCAGGCCAATGCTCAAACCACTGAGCTATCCCTTCCTCATATTGTGCCTTCCTCAAAGCTGTAAAGCTTTAGTGCTGCCCTATGCTATACACGCACAGCCCATTACAACCACAATGGGAAACGGCTGGAGTTGCACAGGTAAGCACTCAAAACCCAGCAAATGCTAAAACCCTAAATGGCTCTGGGGACGCCACTGTGTGTGTAAGTCTGGGCTTGTGATCTACCAACCACCTCTGTGAACAGCCAGAATCGGAGAAGACTTGCGACATGGGGGGCAATGTGGAAAAGGCAGTTCCTGGGACAGATGCCAGGCTGGCAGGCCCCTAGAAACATACAGGATTTCCTTTTATTTTGACTGTAACTAAGCCAAGGCTCCGCATCTAGATGATCTTGAGCTGGGTTAAGTACTAGATATGTTCTGCAAGCTAGTTCTTTTAATATGGTTTTCAGTCTTTTCTGAATCCCAAGACCAAATCCAGCCAGTGGGGTGACTTGTACAGAGTGCCCCAAAGAGAGAAACCACCCCTAGAAGGGAGGGGTTCTGACGTCTCACCCTATTCAAAGGCCTTGATCAGAAGGGCATCGAAGAGGGGACCCTCTCTCGGACCACTTGTTGCGCACAAGGAAGTGGTTCTGACAAACACAAGGCAGGTGGCGATCAGCCTTTCCAGACGACTGTCCCCCTTTCAGGAGTTGGATTTGTCTTGTGTACCCCCAGTTTCACCTCATTTAAAAACTGTTGGCTTACAAAATCAGGCATAAAAATACAAAAGTGTCCCAGCACGCTGCTACTGAAAAGTGGCGGACTGTCTCATTGTTACTACATACCGATAAAATAAATCCATTGGGCTATAAATATTGTACTTGCATTGCCGTGTGATTCTGAGCCTTGTCTGCAGCCCAGGCCCTGCCGCCTGGGGCTGAAGCATGTAACTTAGCTTTGCAGGGGGCCCCAGGCAATTGCTCTGTTTGCCACCTCCTGATGCCAGCCCACCATTTGTGACCCCCTAAACCCATCCCATGACCACCCGTGGGGCTGCAAACCCCAGGTCGAGAAACACTCATCTAGATGAGTGGAGTACCCCCGGAAGACCTCTGAGTACCCCCAGGGGTACATGTACCCCTGGTTGAGAACCACTGCCACAGAGGACACACAGATTTAGCGGGCGCAGGCACCAGCCTCATCATGCGTCCAGCAAAGTCAGGCCTGGTCCACCAGACTGTGGCGTTGTTCCTACTCTGTCCTTTCTTGAACGTCACAGGCCTAACGAACATCCTGCGGTTTTCTGGAGGCCTGGCCAAATACCAGCCGTGATTAGAGGCCTGGAGAGAGAATGAACAGACTGGAGTTTTTACCCAAGGTGGAAGAGGAACGGGAAAGGGGATATATTTGAGGGATACATAATAAAGAAGGCTGTAGAGGAAGTAGCACATACACCTCTCTCATAAGACTAGGACAAGGGGACTGTCCACAACACTCAAAGGATCACACTGAACATTGAAAAAAGAATTACTTACGAACACAACACAAACGACCCATGGAACTCACCCCCACCTGATATCATTGAGGCCGAGAGCCTAGCAGGACTCTAAAAAGGAGAGGACATTTGGATGGATGATGGGACTAGCCAGTGTCACATGAAAGAGTTAAACTGCCCCTGGGACTCCTGCTTCAGGGCATCTGAAGGAACATGGAGATGGAGCATCTCCCTCAGCAGGACCTGTCCTGTGCCTTGAGGCTCTTTCCTCCTGCTGCACTGAGGCGTGAGGGGTTCAGCCGTGTTCAGACCAAGTCTCCTCTGAGGGTTAAGGGAGCCTGCATGGGAGAGGACTAGCTGCCTTTTGTGGCAGGCAGGGTGGAGTCTGGTAACAGAAAGTACCGCAGATTCCCTATTCCGGGGAGGCGGGGCACATTTCAGCTACAGCTCCCAACAAGCTAGCCTCACGGAGGTCAGGTTAGGGTGCACCAGCCGGGGCACTGAGTTTTATCTCCCAGTCTTTCCCTGCTGTGCGTATCCTACTCCTTTGGCGATAGGGTGACCAGACAGCAAGTGTGAAAAATCAGGACAGGGGTGGGGGGTAATAGGCGCCTATATAAGAAAAAGTCCCAAAAAACAGGACTGTCCCTATAAAAACGGGACATCTGGTCACCCTATTTGGCGAGCAGAATAATGCACCTGTGGCCTCACATGTGGACTGTGCGAGGAGAGGGGTTACCACAGCTGCTCTCCCTTACCAGAGTCTGTCACACGGGGCCCCAGGGCAGGGGGTGCAGGTACCATTTGGGTCAGAGTGTCTCCTGCAGCACTGCTGGCCTGGGACAGCCTGCCCCCTCCTGCCAGCCAGGCACAGGAACAGTCACCTGCTGCCCACCTTCCCCCCAGAAACAGGAATCCATTTGCTTGCTGCAGGAGAGTCGGTGGCATGTTTAGGGCGAACATTCCCCCCACTCCCCTTCCTCTCTCATTTAAGTGGAATCAATTGTGCCATTTCTGCTTTGCTTTTCAAAAGCAATTACTTTCATGTCATTTCTACAGACATTCACAGAGAGCGAGCGAGCGAGGGCTTGATTATCCATCCCTACCCTCGTCCTGTGGCTTCCGCAGCGGCGGCGAAGTATTAAATTAAACGAGGTGTCTATGGAGCTGCGATGGTTTCAGGTCAGAGACGCTATGGAAAGCTGTATGCTGCTCTGCTCCTGTATATGTAAATGGATATATTAAAACCACTGATGTCAACTTGCAACACTCATCTCCTCTGCTCTCGGGTGATCAAAGCTGATTGCTGAGGCAATTACGGCAAAGGGAAGGAAAATCACGGCCTCCTGCTCATCCCTGAGCTGCTGGAGTTTAATTGCTTAGTGTAGCTGAAGCTGCAGCTCCTTCTCTCTTGTGCGCACGCACACACACGTGCGAGCATTTCACACAAGGAAATACACACAGGAATGCTCAGTTTTGGTGAAGCAAGGACAACGAGAAGCACCCCAAACACACAGAGACCACAACATGAAAAATAACCATGTTTTAAAATGAATAAGCCACTACAGCAGGCAAGCAACCAGAGCAGCAATGGAGGGGAAAAAACACAGCCACAAAATACAAGCTCAC